CCTTTTCCATTTATTACTGCTTTGGTTTAGTTAATATTGCAATCCACAATTATGTCATCACTTAATCAGTCCACCTGTTTGCTTAGTGATCAAATTGGAATCCTTTGCATGTTACTGTTAGTTGTTGACAAGGAGTATTTCTCAAAAAAAGAGTTCCTTTTTAGTTTTTTTAAACAAAACAAAGTGTTTCAAAAACTTGTTCTTCATGCTTTTTATTTAGACCACCTGTTTATAGCTTTTTGGAGCAGCTGTTTTTCAAGTTTAGTTTACAAAAAGCTTGTTTGTCAAGATTTTTTTGAACAACTATCTAATACGGAGTAGTTGGTTGCCAAAGAGGGGCTGCATCCTTAACCCAGAATATCTTCTGCTTTCAATTCATTCCAGCTGTTTCTGTGACTCAGAAATCAGAAATGAATCTTGCTTATACACCGTCGAGTTTTTTATTTTCCAAATGTATAAGCATTATTTAATCATATTCTTGATTTTTGAACAGGGAGGATGAATTTGACTTGGACCTTGAGGACATAATGGTAATGGAAGCTATATGGCTATCTATTCAGGTACTTGAAAAACCACTTTGATTTGTAAATAAATGGCAAGACACCCAGTGTCCTAGTTGCCTACTTTTAACTACTCAAGAGAGACCAGCCCTACATTATCTACTTTGTACACCTTTCACTTGTGAAATGACACATCAAACCTCCCTTGCTTCTTTAGATGCACATATCAAATTGGTTTCTCTAGAAGATGTGTCTTAAAAATCTTATTCGGTGTCTAAACATGATATGCAAGGAAAACGGCAAGCTTCAAGCTCCTTGCCATAGCGCTGAACGTGTACCTATTATGGTCCCACCCGTGGGACGGGGATCCTCGCCATCTTCCCCTTCCCCTTCAGGAGGTCTGGCTTGTGCAATTGCAGCCCTTGCAGAGCGGCAGCAAACAGAGAGGGAGTCCTCCTCCTCCTCCTCCTCCACCTTCACCTCCACCACCACCGCCAGTACGTATGGTGGAGCAGCCATAGCATCATCTTCTTACCCCCATTTCACTAGTACCAGGTTCCCAAACACGGCAATGCAAGTAAACGAAGATTACTGTCCACCTCATAGCGAGATGAGCGAGGTCAGGAACTGGGCTGACAATGGTTCTTCTTTGATGGATGAAGCGGGGCCCCCCTTCTCAGTGCCCCCCATCGTCCCAGAAAGCTTTGAAGAACAGATGATGCTGGCCATGGCTGTTTCGCTTGCCGACTCACAATCAATGACGACGACAACAAGTAAACATGGTGTACCAGGAGAGGCGTGGCGTTAGCCCCCGAGGAGGAGAGGAGAATGACACGGTGTGTCGGGGTTGTTTTAGTAATTTTCAGCAGCACAGTGTTGAAATGTGGTGGATATATATACTTGGAGAAGAAAATGGTTTTAAGGAATGATTATAGACTGTGTTGTTTAATTATGCGAGGGAAAATAGGCAAAACACAAAACAAACTTTTAAGGTGAGGAAATTGTGTGGGCTTAGAAGAAAAAGAAAAAAGAAACTGTTGGCATCATATGCATTCATGTGTCAACTAGGTTGGCTATGTTTTTACCCCTTTTCTTTTGGAGGTTTCCATGTTAAAATTCTCCTGTTTTTTTATGTGTTTTTTTTATTAGTGATTTTTTTTTTGAGATATCATACCCATCAGTCTCAAATTTACTTGGCCAATGTCTCTTTTTTTGTTCAGTCTCAATGTATTGTAAAGTATGGGTGGTTTTTTTCTTTTCTTTTTGGACATCTATTAAATTTAGAGAGGAAGAATTAAAGTACAGAGTAAATGTTTTCAGAAAGTTGGCGTTTTACTAGAATACTCGAATATTATATATTTATAATCACAAGTTGGCGCTCTTAGAATTCAATATTCTCACAATATAGTAATTTAAAATTGTAAATTGATCGCAAATAAATACGAAGTACATCTTACAAATTTGAAAATTTTAGTAAATTAAACATTTTCTTAGGATATTATTGTAAAAGTATTGATTTTTTTAAGCAATAATGATAATTATTTATGTTTACTAGAAACATTTTTATAAAATTCTAAATTTCTAAAAATATTGACATGGATTTTTTCATATAAATAAACTTTAATGAAAAGTGCCAATCCCTACCATCAATCCGTCATTTTCTCCAAATAATCCCTTTTTCAATAATATAAGCAAGTCTTTGTTTGCCCATTTAGTATTGAAGATCCAAAATGGACTCGATGACATGCATGCATAGCCCAACTGGTCTAAAGAGAGAATGTCAATTTCATTCATCTTATGGTTAAATCCTGACAACGAAAGTGTGAAAGTTCTATTATTTGTAATAGCTTTTTATGCACACCGGACACAAGGCAGTCTCTCTAAGAACCAGATTGAAATTATACCATGATTTACTCTACTGGGATCGGGGTGTCGGGCGTTCTGGATTTTTATATTTTCTAATTCCTTTTTTCTTTCTAAAGTCAAAGAATTGTCTTGGTATTTACTCGCTGACTATTCATAACAAGAAATGAGAGAGCACATCAGGTTAAGTTGAAACGAAAATACATACTCTCTCCGTCCCTAAATGGATTACAATTTTTTTCTCTCCTCTCGATAATTTTTGTTTGTTTACGCGATTTCATTAAGAATTTGATAAAATAAAATATTCTTGCCACTTCTTGTTTTGTAGAACTTTTGACGTAATTTTTTAATATGTAATTTTTATATCGTATTGATATACCAATTTGTAAATAAAATAATTTCAAAAAGTAGAAAAATTCACTCCGTAACCCGCAATTTGTAATCAAATTGGGGACGGAGGGAGTATAACATTTACTTTTTTTTACGTCGCTTTTATTAATAACTTTACAGCTTTAATATATGAATTATAAATAAGAGTGGTCATTCACCTAACACGTGAAAAATGAAATATGGTTGCTCGTATAGAATTATTCATTTACGGATGGATAATCATATTCTTGTACAAATAAAAAACCAATTATTCATCAAACATTTTAAAAAATAAACCCCTTTTAAAATACAGGTCTAAATTATAAAACAACACATCTACTTGAATTGAAAGACATATATCTTATAAATCGTCTTGACATTATCATTCGATATATATTTATTTTTGAATGATATTGACTCTATCATAATGTAGTATCATTCTATGTATAATTTAAATATTAAAAATTGATAAAAGTTTGTAAATTTTATGGCAGAATTTAAACGTAACAAATACTCTCTTTGTCCCATATCTTTTCTCCGGTCAACGTGTTAAAATTTTGACAATAAATTACGACAAAATAAATTGAATTTTGAGATAGATTTAATATCAATATATTGATTTCGAAATATAATTTAGAAATTTTATATTTTTGTACTATATATTCATGAATATTAATGGTCAAAGTATTGTCTCGTAACTTATGATAAGTCAAATAAGAAAGAAAGTTATAAATATGAGAATAGAAAGAACACTACAAATTAATTAACATTATCCCAAATAGTCAAATAGGATTATAGGCATGGCATATAAAATACTAGCTCCATATATCATTTACACACAATAAGAGATTTGAAATGAATAAGGGGATTCATATTTCCAACAAACTCATTTATTATGGGGTAACATGATTGTGATCAATACATACAGTATGAGGAAAAAATGTAAACATCAGAACAAGTTGCTAGTATTGATTTGTGGGAAATGTTGGCCATTACAGTGGCTAATAAGAGAAAACTGATCTTTTTAAAATATGATGTTGAAATATGATTTTAAAATATTTTATCTTTTATAATATAAATTTATATATAAATAGAGATATTAATAATCAAAATCTTGTATAAAATGCCGTAAAAAGTCATGGATCGGGTGCAACTTTCTTGAGCTTAGAAGACTATTATCTCATGAACCATATTGAATTAAAACTCTTAACAAAAAACATAAAAAGGAAAAAAAAACAGTTGGGAAACAAGTTTTTAATACTCCGTAGATAAATGAACTTACCCAATGTGTAAACTGTAAAACGGAATGGGCCACTGCACCATATCATATCCCCCAACATGCCCTTAAATTTAATGTAAACAATTTAATGAATTCGGATTAACAGTATTATTCATTTATTTTTTTCTGCGAAAAATTAAATTGAATAATTAATTATTACTCCATATTTTAATACTACATCCGTACGTCCCCTTTGATTCTTTCTCATTTAGCTTAATTTCATGGTCAACTTTTTTGAATTTTAATTAGAAATATTTGCACTAAATAGCACTAAAACTTAAGTCATTTCTCTAAATAGCACTTAAATTATTTTATTCCCTAAGTAGCACTTAATAATGTCTATAATGACCAGTGATGAAGAATATTTACTTGAATAATGACTAATGCATAATGACTAAAAGTGTTATATTGGGAAGAAAAACACATGTAGTGCTATTTAGGGAAAGTCATTATGTTTTTGTGCTATTTGAGTAAATTTCTCTTTTAATTATAAGTTACGAAAAAATACATTGCAATGTAGTAATACTTCTTCCGTCCCAAAAACTCCTTCACGTTTCAAAAAATGGTGTCCCACAATCTTCTTCTTAATTCTATTAAAAAACTATTTTTACCCTTTACTTTTGCATGCCCTACCTATCACATCATCCCTCTTTTCTAATAATCTATACTCCGTACATCACATCCTATTTTTACTCATCACATCAATGGTATTTTTGAAAATTCAATACAAAATTATATCCTTATTTTGCCACTTTAGTCAATATGTCCATTTCTTTCTGGGATATGATGGAAGGAGTATATATTTCATATTAATAAATTTACTTTGAAACATTATATTTTTATAATATACTCCGTAGTATATATTTATTTACTTGTATAAATAATGATGTTGATGGTCAAAAATATTGAATCATAAGACTTAAATGAGGATTTTTTAAAAAAAAATAGAAATGGAGTATCATATATAGCAAATAGGAATTTACATATCACATAAACATAATGACTTTCCCTAAATAGCACTAAATGTATTTTTCTTCCCAATGTAGCACTTTTAGTCATTATGCATTAGTCATTATTCAAACAAATATTTGTCATCACTGGATATTATGGACATTATTCAGTGCTATTTAGAGAATAAAATAGTTTAAGTAATATTTACGAAAATAAATTAAATTTTAGTGATATTTAATGCAAATATTTCTATATCAAATTTAACCTATATAAACCATGCAAATACAACACAATACAACACCCAAGAAAAAATAGGCCAATGGCGTCTCTAATTCCCCAATGCAATTCCACCATAGCCGTCAACTCCTCCTCCTCCTCCGCCCCCTTCCCAAAGCCCTCCCAAATCTACATCGCCGCCGCGAAACGCAGCCAGCATCCCCTCAAGCAGATCACGTGCAACGCCGCCAGCAGCGGCGGCGGCGACTCCCGACGACCAAATAAGCTCGACCGGAGGGACGTCCTCCTCGGTCTTGGCGGCCTCTACAGCGCCGCAAACCTCCTTTCCAACTCCTCCTCCGCCTTGGCCGACCCCATCCAAGCCCCGGAACTGTCCAGATGCGTCGTCCCCCCGGCGGACTTACCCCCCAACGCTTTAGTCGACAACTGCTGCCCTCCGCTCGCCACCAACGTCGTCCCCTACAAGCTCCCTAAGGTCACCCCCGCCTACATGAAGGTCCGTCCGGCGGCCCACCGCTTGGACAAAGTGTACCTCGCCAAGTTCGAAAAAGCCATCGAGCTCATGAAGGCTTTGCCCGCCGACGACCCCAGAAACTTCTACCAGCAAGCTAACGTCCACTGCGCTTACTGTAACGGCGGTTATACCCAGCCCGGATTCCCCGACAAGGAGATCCAAGTTCATAACTCCTGGCTGTTCTTCCCCTTCCACCGATGGTACCTTTACTTCTACGAGAGGATCCTCGGGAAGTTGATCGGCGACCCGACTTTCGGGTTGCCGTTCTGGAACTGGGACAACCCCGCCGGGATGCTGATCCCGGCGGCGTTCAACAGTAAAAACTCACCCCTCTACGACGAGAATCGGAACCAAACCCACCTCCCGCCGGTCCTTCTCGACCTCGGCTACGCCGGGAAGGAGACTCCGGCGACCGACCAGGAGAGGATTTCGAACAACCTCGCGTTGATGTACAAGAGCATGGTTACCAATGCTGGCACCGCCGAGCTATTCCTCGGGAAGCCGTACCTCGCCGGAGATGACCCGGTCAAGGGAGGCGGCGGTTCGATAGAGAATATCCCGCACACGCCGGTCCACAGGTGGGTCGGCGACGTGAAGCCGAGGACGAATAACGGGGAGGACATGGGAAACTTCTACTCAGCCGGCCGCGACGTGCTGTTCTACTGCCACCACTCGAACTGTGACCGGTTGTGGACCATCTGGAAACAGCTCGGGGGGAGGGCGAACAGCACGAGGCGGTCCGACTTCACAAACTCCGACTGGTTGGACTCCACTTTCATCTTCTACGACGAGAACAAGCAGGCTGTGCGCGTTCGCGTTGGGGACTGCTTAGACAACCAGAAAATGGGATACAAATACGAGGCCATGAACTTGTCGTGGCTGAACAGCAAGCCTATCCCGACAAAGAGGAAGGCCGGTCTGGCAGCGATGTCGAGTGCACCCTTTGTCACCGACGTGTTCCCGGTGACCTTAGACAAGGTGGTCCAAGTCAAGGTTGCTAGACCTAAGAAGTCTAGGACCAAAGAAGAAAAGGAAGATGAAGAAGAAATCTTGTTAATTGAAGGTATATTATTTCATCCTGCACTAAGACTAAAAACAATATTATAATGTTTGAGTGCTATAGTCAAAGTTATAATGTTTGACTATATAATAAATGATGACAGGTATTGAGGTGGCGATCCATGAGTATGCAAAGTTTGACGTTTACCTGAACGACGAGGACGAGCCGGAGGCCGGAAAAGAGAAGGCGGAGTACGCCGGAAGTTTTGCGCACTTGCCGCACAAGCACAAGGGGTCGAAGAAGATCGTGACGAGTTTGAGTTTGGGGCTGAACGAGCCGTTGGAGGACTTGGGCGCGGAAGACGACGATGACGTCCTTGTCACTTTGGCTCCCATGGTCGGCGGCGGCGTCGTCTCTGTCTCCGGGATGAAGATCGTCTATGGATCGTAGTTCGGTCGCCGGCGGCGACGGCTTCTTTCATCGGCAACAGTTTTTTTCTTTACTTTATTTACTGCGCCGGCGGGAAAAAGAATCATATCCACATCCGCGGCGCGCGCCTAAAATAACTTTCTCGTTTAAGTTTGTTCTGCGGTTGACTTTTTCAATTGAGAAAATTGTTTTCTCAATAATTTTCCCTTTTAAACCTAATATAATGCTCTTTTATTGGCGAGTACTCAAATTCTATACACATCACAATTCACAAAATAAAATGTGAATCTTTTCACATTTTTTGAGTTTTTTTGCAAAATAAATAAACTGATGCATTAAATTTTTGTACCAAGATTTAATAAAGAGAAATTTACCTAAATAGAGCTAAAACATAATGACTTTTCCAATATAGGACCATATGTTTTTATTTCCTAATGTAAGACCTTTGGTCATTATCAAATAGTCATATTCAACTAAATGTCCATCATTGCTGGACATTATTTCTTCCACTAGGTCATTATTAAGTCCTATTTAGGAAATAAAAAAGTTTAAGTCCTATATTAGGAATGTCATTATGTTTTAGTCCTATTTAGTGCAAATTTCACTTTAATAAATGAGTATGGATTCAAGAAATACATAAGAATTAGTCTTCGTGTATAATACTTTGTGTTTATATGTTTGACAAGTACTTATATCATACATCTCCATTTATAGTATTTCCCATACATCCGCTCGAATTCTTATTTTTGAGTAATTGATTAATAACTTTCGAGTAACAAAATAAATTTTTTTGAATAATTAAACATTTATTTTCGAGAATAAACAAACTTTAGAAAAATGAGTATTATTAAGTTTTTTTGTATATGAGTACTTGCCGCGAATGAACAGAAAACACCGTACAATCGGTTGTACCATACGATATATATTGCAATATTTGATGACAACATTAGAGATTAATGTTAGCCTTTTAAAAATGATATGCTTCCATCCCATTTCGAATGTCACCTTTCATTTAAGAGAGTCATACCCTTAGTTAATGATACACATTTAAAAAATGAATAATGCTAGATTCACAAACAAATAGTTTACAAAATTCATAAACTTGTCATTTTAATATTTTGTTAGAAATAAGATGCACTCACATAATAAAAAATATTTTAATTTAAAATCCAAAAAACATGTTTGTGAAGTTTACAAACTATTTGTTTGTAACTCTAGCATTTTCGTAAAAAAATTGAAAAAGTAATACTCGGTAAAAAAATTATTAGGTGGAAAAGTTAGGGAGTATTAAATAATTTGGAAATATCACTGGAATAAACATACTCCCTCCGTTCCTAAATATTTTTCACACTTATATTCCCGAGGTAATATATCAAGTTTTTTTAAATTCATTTTATTTATATAATGGTATAAAAATAAAAAGTAAAATTTACATATAAAAAAATTACATGAAAAATTATTCGAAATAAGATGTGTCAAGAATATTTTATTTTATCAAATAATTAATGAAAATGTAGAAAGAAATAAAAGTTCACGCAACTACTAAAAAAATCAAATATTGCAAATATTTAGGGAGGGAGGAAATAAGTTGTAAGACTCGTAATTCAAAGAGAGAGCAATTCACGGGAGACTAACTTAAAAGGACTTCTAGACTCTAAGAGCATCTCCAACCATAGCCAAATGACTTGCTATATGTTATAATTTGACAAGCATATACAAAATTTCATGCTCCAAAGGGTTATTCAAAATTTGACTAGCTTGCTAAAAAATGAAAATACCTTGCTATTTATAACAAGCATGCTAGAATATAGCTAAACAAAAATTAAGGTAAGTTTCTTTTATAACGATATATACTGCACAAATTAAATACTCCGTATAACATTTTTTTTTGTTTTTTCAATGTGAATGTGATTTTTATCGTAGGAAGAGTTCTTTGGTTTATTTTTTTTTAAATAGAAATATTTTATTTTATATTTTTTAATTAGATACTATTAGAATATAAATAACTTTTTCTGGACATAACCACAAGTTTGAGCTTTTGGTTGAATCAGTTCTTTGACACATACTCCATATTTATTACTTTTTTTT